GGAATGACTTATAAGAATTAATTGGTACTACCTATACTAACAAGATGCATATACTTTTCGGTAGCCCGGATCGGAAGAACTCCACAGTTAAGCGTGCTTGACTTGGAGCAATTCTGGGATGGGTGACCTCCTAGGAAGTTTTCCCGGGAAGTGTGCGAGTGAGGACAAAGCACACTGAAAAATCTCGTGTTAATGTGTGAGGACAGTCATTGATTCTTACAAGTGACCGGGCGTTACATTTTGTACCCATAATTATCAACTAGGAATATATCTTCACTATTTTGGAGCACGCTCCGCATTGCTCAATTATGGCGTCATGCTACCAATTATAATTTAACTTGCAAAATTCTCAGTCACGCTGACGTGATACAGCAAGCTTAAAGCCTATTCAGTAAAAGAGTTTACTCGTTTATAAAAAATAATAATAATAATAATAGAGTTTAATCATTGTGTTTTCTATTTTTTTAATAAATTTATTAATGGATTTTTCGTTCGTGGAGCTCATAATTTATGAAAAAATAATAATAATAAGCACGGAAAATAAATCTCTACAACATGATATAACTTTTTCTATAACATAACTCTTATAAAACTCATTTATTAGAGGGGTTTGCATTTGTCATTTAACATGACACAACAAAATTTTCTACACACACAACATGTTGTAGGGCCCACACTTTTTGAAGAAAAAAAATTACGACACGCAAAACGAATCTCTATAACATTACACAATCACTTTTCCTACAATATAACTCTTATAAAACCTTTTAAATGATGTGATGATATATGAAAACGTAAACAAATTTATAATAAACGATACGTAAAATTAAATTTTTAATAAAAAGAAAAAGTAAAATATATATGAACATTCAAACATGGACTGAAAATTCAAAGTAACGAGCCGGTCATTGGTTAGGAGGTTCCTATTTCATATGAATAAGAAACATCGGAAGTACAATAAAGATTAATACATCCAATGATGATATAACTGGTTAATGATAATATAATGCTATAGAATAATACAACCCTTGGTACCTATGGGACAACTATGTATGGTCTGCAACTTGTTTGTTCATCTATACGGTTAATTCATATTTGGCTTGGCCATCGCAATCAGAGTGTTTCTTTTATTTAACCCATCTAATAGTGAGAAACCATATTTTATTTCAAGTCACACTCTTAGACATTTTTCTTTACGATGCAAATGCCCTTTGAAGACTTCATCAAGAAAACCAAAGATGGGGATATAAAAATAAGATAAAATGAAATAATTTATCCAAAAAATCAAATAAAATAATACTTGATGACTTTGCCAGGAAGCTTATAGCTATATGTAAGGTGCTTATTCCATAAGGCAAGATAGTGATGGCATTGGCGTATTTTCCTTTATTCTTATTGAATATGCATCACCAAGTCAAAGAAGTAACCTTAGGGTTTAGTTAGTCTTCTTTTAAAAGATATAAGTTGTGTTGTTTTAATTTTCACTTTATGCATTTTTTGTAGTACATAATTAAAACATGAAAAAAAAATTCACTTTCCATGTCAGCTGATGTGATTGAGGAGAAAAAAAAAACTTTTTATATTATAACTATATACTACCGGAAGTATATAAAGTAAAAAAATTAAAAGAACACAACTTATATCTTTTTAAATCACTGATAATTTTTCCAATAATAAAATATAACTCTTGTATTTTACCGAGAGAAACAAATATAACTCTTCACTGATGCCTTCGGTGGTTCAATTGATGCGGCATCTCAAAAAAGCAAATATCTCCCTTACACAATACAGCTCGTGTTAATGCACCCTCTAATAAAACAAATAGCTCCAATAGTTCATAGTTCAATGCTCGGAAACCACTTGACTATCTTCTCCCATGTTCGCTTATAGCAAAACTTTTAGAAAAATGTGTGTGTGGGTGGGGGGAATTAATTAAAGAATGATATATTCTCTGTTCACCAAACTTGTAAAATTTACCAAAACTTTTTTTTTTAATCAATTCTAACGTTACAGCAACTTTTTTATATTAAACTTTGGACAATAATTTTCTCCATCCACATGTGAGAAGAAGTCTTTCCTAGAAATATATCGAATTGTGTGTTAAATTTATTTTTATTTTTTATTTTATTAAAAACACTAGTTCCACTATTTTGTTATAAATTTTTGATTCCTGTACAATAAGAAAAGTTTTCCCCTTCTTAAACTTTATAGGCGAGAGAAAAGTCATATTGTAATAGTCAAAATTAAGAAGAGCATTTTTATAACTTTCACAAATTTTACGAAGGTTCCCATTATTTATTAAAATGAGTTTTCAAATATCAATCCACTTGTAGTTTATCTAGTTGATTATTATAGCTTTATGAAGCAAATGGGGTCTGAATATAATAACCAAGGAACATTTATTGTCCTTTATACATCATACAACCTACCAAAACTATGCTAGCATATATAACTATCAAGTTACAAAATTTACAAGATTTCAACATTTGTACTCTAATGCTCTCGTTCTCATTGATCTCCGCCTCTTTTATTTTCTTTATTTTTGATTTGAAGAGAAGAAATAATACCCACTAGTAGATTCTTTTAGTAATGTGTAATCGTCACCTAGCAAGGAACTGTGAGACTATGAAAATGGCTATATATGTACTATCTGTTTAATTTAGTTTGAGCTTGTTATCATTGATTGGGTGCTTAAAAGGAGATGCCCACTTCCTCCATAATTTGCCCTCACAAGCTTTAGTAGATTAAGACATGCTCAACTAGTACCTATTATGGTGACTCCTTTTAGAAATATAAAACAAACCACATGGCAAGATATAGATACTTCTGGGACTTTTCTATGAGAGGCCCTGGTAAAGTTGGGTGGAATTGATGAAGGGCTGGAGCTACTTGTATAACTTCCAAAGGCCTAAATAAGAATCTGTCGATGCTTTAACTTAGCTTTTCACATGGTTGTTTGAACTTTGGAATCTTGGGATGCTATTGTTGGATCTTAAATTTGCAAAAGCAGATATATGCTGGAAAAGATCCATTAAGTATCTGCTTTAGGTCGTGGGAGAACTTATTTGGGTTTGGCACCCATTCATCATGCATATTTACTTTATAGGGTGCATCAACCTTATTAATGACCCTACAGGAGATAAGGAGAAGGGGAGAAGAAAAAAAAAAAAATCTTAGCTTAAATGGCTTTTATTACATAACCAAAGACACATTTAATTTAAGGAAAATATTACTCTCCTTTCACATAAGATATCTTCTCTCATGTTCTTTTACTTCGACTTTCGTACCCCACCGATTTTCGATTGCCCCACATGTAATGGTGGGACTCACTTATTTTCTCTCTACAACATAAGATAACTATCTTATGTTAAATGAGACTAATAAAATCCTTAATTTAAAGTGAACAAGTACATCGTAATCTTAACCTATTAAATAATTTAAGAATAAATACGGGAGTGGATCCTCTCATGTGCTAATTAACATGATCATGTCATGTGGGGCAATCATAACCATACATGGGTGAGTTAATGGTAATAAGGGAGGAGAGAAAAAAAAATATAAGAATAGGAAGTGACACCATCATCATTGTTGATTTAATTATCAATGGTTAAGATCTTCCCACATGACATGATCATGTTAAGTTAGACATGAGAGGATCCATTTTCAATAAATACACCCTTACTTATTTTTATTTTTATTTTTGATAACAACACCCTTACTTATTCACTTTAAAGACATGCTTATTTTAATGTGGTCAATAGGTCTACATAAAATATTCTGAGTGTTCAAGTGGCAGTAATTATATCATTTTGTACAAGTACGAAATTCTAGATGGTAAAAATGGTTCAAAGGGGCCTATTTTTTAACCAAACTAAATGTATTGTAACTTCTCTACAAAATGATTTCGCTAACACAAACCCATAATCCTTCAATTGAGGATTTTGTCACCCCCTGATGGCGCAACTTCCTGTTGGTTTGAAGGGAGCACACGCATATGAAAAAGATAAAAACCATCGTTGAATTCCACAACACGAGCCTAGTGTATTATAGTATAAGAAAGTCCTCTTTGTGTATTGTTATTAATATGATATTATGAATTATTTAATATAAAATAGCTTATCAGTTATTATCTGCAATAATAATGATCACAACATATAAACATATATATGAAATACGGCGTGCTGCACGCTGTTTGGCTCATGGCCGGGTACCAATCCCTTTCACCTAGCAACAAAAAATAATTCATGCCAAATAAGATATTTTGATATATTACACCAAATAAACAATGGGGTTGAAATCAAAATTATTGATTAGTATCATATTTTTATATATTATGATGGATCTTGCAAAATATCAAAGCAGACTGGATAGTAATAGATTATGAGCAGGCTTTAGTTAATCCCCTATAGTTTTCTGTTCATGTCATTGGGTTGTTGATTTTGCAATACTCTTGTTCATTGCAAAAGTAGCAAAAGAAGTGCACTTGTATTGAGATGATTAAACTTTATATCATGCTAACAAGAAACTGAAAAACAAGATAGAAAAAGACAAAGTTAACATGTCAAATATAATTAACAACTCACGCTTTCCTGTATAGACTGTAAGCACAATGCTACTTTCCTAGTGAAGTTAAATAACAAGTAGCAATTTCGAACCTTCTCCCCTCACATACTATTTCACTTTCTATACAAGCCTTTTGACTTCAATTCCACTACGATGAAAACAAGCTCATTTAGCTGGTGTAATCCATGATGGTACAAAACCAATACTGTAGTATTTGATTAATTAATTTACAAACATAAAATTAGTTTAATTTAATAGACCAAGACAAGGTTCCAAATTATGGAAAAAAAAGTATGAACAGTTCATTAGACAGTGTTTGGTTGTTCCTGATAACAGGGAAACATTCTCCTTTAAACCAGAGTCATAATAATTAGTCCCCTTATGGAATCTTCCAAACTCGTTGGAAAATAAAACCCTGTATATTTGTTCAGTTGCTTTAAGTCAGAGAAAAGTGGCATCCTCAGAGTGAGAGAGAGAGTGAGACTGAGGCTGAGAGGTTCATCAAACATATAAAATAATCAAAAACAATTTTTTTTCCTATAATAACAATGCAACTGTGCTACCTTGAGTCAATTCCTGGTTTGCTTTCAAGGGTTTGTTATATTTATGTACAGAAATGGGTATGCCAGATTGCTTTCTAATTCTTTCTTTTCTATCTAATGGATTTGTTTTGTGTTGCAGCTTCCCTTCCTGAGCATGGATATCTACCCTATTCTCTTTCTGTGTTGGAGTTTTGGCATGCTATTTTGATTTTGAGGATAATAGTGATTGCCATCAAAATCTGGGTTTCTTTGACTTTCAGTGATGGGAAGTAACAGCAGAGGAAAGGATGGTGAAGGAACTTCTGGAGTTAACAAGGTTGAGGAAAACTATGAGAATGAACAAGACATGAAATTTCTGCCGGCTGAACTGTTTCCTCGCAATTCCAATGGCCCTAGAGCATATGAGCCACCACCTCCCTTGCAGGTCAGAGTCAGATGATCCCTTTTTTTGAAGAAAAATTATGGGGTTTCTTTCTTTTCTTTTCCTTTTTTTTTTTTTTTTTTTTTGACAAGGAACTTCCTCTAAATATACCTCTTTTTAAGCTCTAAATAGGTCATGTTTAATGTTACATCTATTGATGGTGTATCATTAGGATGGGGTTTTAGTTTTAAGATGGGGAGAAAAAAGAAATCTGCTTGAAGCTTATGAATTTGGGATGCTTCGCTAGACTGCTTTGTAGGATGGTATGATCAAAGTATGATATTTGGTTATAGGGAAAAGATCAGAGTAATATGACAATTCATAGCAATTTAAGGTGAATTTACTATCTTGAACATTAATTGTATTTACCATTCATAAAGGAAAAACTGTTTGTCTTATAGGGGCTTGTTATAAGATACACTGACTAAACAAATTAATATACTTCCTTTACATGCATGCTATTGCAGTATTATTTCATTCTCAGTTAATATAAATAAAAAATTATGCAATTACAATGTAGCTTTAATGTTTTTAATTCAATGAAGAACATACAAGTTGAGAGTTAGTGTCCTTGAGCGAAGCTAGTGTCATATAATAAATATCTTGAGGGGCACAACACAATGAACGTTTACGTTGAAACACCAAATTTCAAATGCCTGTTTTCAAGGTCCCTGTGGTTGACATGCAAAGACGTGGAGCGGTAGCGCAACCCCAGCCGGATGCATTGCTGCAAAATGGATATGTAGAATGTGTTCTTCATGAAAGGTTGAAACGTGTAAAGATCATATGGAATCATGCAGGCACAAATGTTGCTATTGCAGGATCATGGGACAACTGGGAAACCACGTAATCATATATGTTTTTTATATTCCAACTTCAGTTCTTGCTTTTACATCATCATTTGATAATATAAACTTTTTCCTTGTTCTTTCAGGGAGCCCTTGAAGAATGTAGGTCAAAATTTTTGCATTGTCAAAGCACTCCCGATTGCTATCTATCATTACCGTTTCCTTGTAGATGGCTATTGGACATATGCTCCAGAGTTCCCATCTGCTACTGATGATTCAGGTTATGGCTACAATATATTGGATTTGCAGGTAATATCATGGTTTACTTTACTTTTTAGGAAATGTAGATGATCTCTTCAACTATATTTTCACAAGTGTGAAGTGTCAATCTTTTACTATAACCATTATTAACATGATCATCAATTCAGTTGACAGTGAGGCTTTATTCTGTTCTTATTCTGATAACATGTTTGCTTATGGTTATGGAGAATACATATTCAGAACTACTTCAGCTTGACCAATATATACTAAAATCCATTTCCTCACTTGTTTTATCATTATTGTCAAAATTTTCTGTCTGGTGAAGAAACTATTGCACCATGGTTGAGCAAATGCTTTAATTAGGAGAGCCTTATACTAAACCTCTAGAATAAAGCTGCACTAAAGACACAGAAGTAGTATACATATGAAGTTATGCACGATAGAAAATTTCTACACTACTGACTTAACCGTGCCAAATAATTGCTCCATGCTTTCGCCAAGATTGAGCAATATCAGTGTCCTTCACATTTTCACTAATAGTAGTTTTCACTCTGATCTCTGAACTCTGCTACTATGTGATGCAAGTTATATATTGGTCAGTTTCTGAACAGACATACTCAATAATTGAACTGAAATGTGTCCTGCTCACTAGCTGAGTGTATTGTTCAATAAACAATGTCTAAAGACCCCGAAATCTATAGATGCAGAATACAGAGATAACAAAAATAGGCTACTAACAGCATCAATTATATGTGTCCCTCTCAAACGAAGTCCATATAAATGTTCAATTTTTGTTAATAGATAACTTTCGAATGTGCTGCATTCTGCAATCTAAGTCATACAATATTGTTCATGCCCTTTTCTGTATGCTTATAGTAATTAGCATTTGGTCATCCTTTCCCTTTGTTTCTTTAAGATAGTCTCACCTAGCTTCATGATTAACCATATTTACAGGATTATATCCCAGAAACACTTGAAAGGTTATCTGATTTTGAAGATCCTTCATCACCACCATCGAGTTATGATAACATATTCAATGAAGATGAGTTCAGTAAGCCACCACCAGAATTGCCACCACAACTACCAGTGACAATAAAACATGAGCCTTCATCCACGAGTAATAGTCGTCTTGTCCCTAGGCCAACTCATCTGGAACTGAATCATCTTTACATTCACAAAACTGATAGGGATCAATTTGTGGCACTACGATCAACTCATAAGTTTCAACACAAATATGTTACTATGGTACTGTACAAGACCCTGCGCAGGTAAAGATGATGAAGCATTTTGTCTTTTGTTTTTTTCCAGCTATTGAACTGGCCTCGTTTAAGCGGCCTTTATGAGAACATTTGGTAAGGTCATTAAACTTGTATGTAGAAAATTGATTGGAGTAGGTAAATGAAGAATTGTTTTCCATGTAAACAACTAAGGGAATTTTATTTTTTTCTGCTGTCAATATTATATAATATATATTCATAGCAGTTGTCCTTCTTTTAAGGTCTGAAGTTTTGGAATTGAATATGTTAACTGCACGTACTTTGATGCAGATTCAATGGTAGTCTGTAGCATAAAAGAAATATGACCCCTTTTTCAAAAAAAAAAAAAATATGACCCTTCTTCCCCTTTTCTCTATTGTACTCTCAGATAATTTCATCAGCCTCTGAAACAGACATTTGTTCCATTGCCAAATGGCAAATACCTTGGTTCTATCACGTGCAATTCTGATGGTTGAACATATATTAAAAGTCATAAAGTTAAATCCTTTAAATTTGACAACAGAAAGAACATGCTATACATAGTACAACTGTAATCTGAGCATACACCTACTTTATGTAGCTAGTATCCTCCTTTTTCCACCACTTCCTATTTCTGATATATGAGAACTAACCTTTTTTCAAATTGGTTGAAATTTCACAGGCCATCTTCATTTTATTTTATTTTTGGGTTTTGCTTGCAGAAGTATCTATCTTTTATAAGTATGAAAAACTGATCGGTATTAAATGTCATCTTTAACTATTTAGTACAACTGTTCCATTATGCAGCTGAACATTTCTAATATGATAGAGAAGCCAACCAATTTTTCTCCTAAATAAAAACAATGGTAGATCTATAGTATATCAACGATCTAAACCTCTATCTTCTTCATTTTTTCATTTTTTATCAGCAGGGAACGAAAAGAAATCAATCTGTGACTGCAGAAAGTCCCTTATTAATTTTCCCTATAACAATCGGTTTACCAACCATCCCATATTAGTTTTGGTTTTTGGTCTTTAAAACTGTTCTGAATCGATCAACAATGTGCAATTCTTTAAACAATTAGAAGCGTATCCAACAGACAAAAACCCTTCTTTATGCTTCACTCTACTCTTTTTCTTTGCAATCTAAAAACGTAAAAGGATTATCAAACTGCAACCCTGAAATAGCTTTCTTATATGCCGACTTTCACAGTGGCAGGACTCAACTCTTGTTTCATTAAAATGATCCATTACATAATGTCCATACAAATGTGGAAAAAGTAAGGTAATTCTCTGCTTAAGTTTGAGAACTAAAGTGCTTAAAATTCGTGAGAATGAACATCTGAACACGAGTAGACAATGAAGTATTGTCCATGCTCTCATCGAACAGGTACCTTAATCCAACCATTTGCAAAAGCAATGGCCAAGATTACAAAAGGAGTTGACATACCAAATATGATAATGTAAGGAATAGGGGTCTTCATGGGGTTCTCTCCTTCCCTTTCTCCTGCTGTCTGCCAATATCTGCACCATACAAAAACCTTTTTTGGTGTAATAATCACTATTGAAAAACATGTGCTAAACTGCTAAAGCCAAATTTTGTTTGAGAAACCTACATGACCAGAAAGTTAAACAAAACAGTACAAAAATGTATGAAACGAAAACCAAGAATTGTTACTGTTGTGGTTCTTCATCTCTGGTTATGAATTTCTTCTTCCCTCCTTGCTTGGCTTCTTCATCTCCACCACCTAATAGCACCAGAGCCATATTCCTAAGTATATCATCTCAACCTCATTTAATACACCAGAATGAGAAACAGGAGAATTAACACAAAACTGAAGAAACAATGGGAGGTGAGTGATTGCATGTTACCCAATTTAGCATGAACTTTGACACCAAGAACATTTGTTTTTGGGGAGGTAAGGCTATGTAAAACTGGAGAAAGTGATGGTGATTTTGGCAGAAATGAAGTTTTGAAGGCAAGTGAAGAAGATAGAGTCACTTTGGCAGCCATTTCTTGAAAGTTTCTGTGATACTATGACTATGTCTATGAGCCATCCCCTCCCTATCTATCACATATGTTTTATCAGGTTTGGATATTTTTGTGGATTCTATCCTCATCTCACCAATGACGTGGCGTCCATGTATCACTTTCTTTGTTGTAATTTACCATTGTTCCCACTTCCCACTAGATAAATATTCCCTCTCTTTTTTTCTCGAGGGTAGTTTATTTTGCGTTTAAAATTATTTATATTTTTAAAAAAATAATAATAATAATCAGCAATGTCCATCTAGTTTGCTTCAGAATCAATCATTTATATTTTTGTGATTTTTTTTTATATCATACATTCCTATGCTTTGTGAAAAATAAAAAATCACAGAGGTACATGTGATAAAAAAAATCACAAAGACATAAGTGATTCTGGAGTAAACAACAGTGATTCTGAAATAAACAATAGGGGTATTGGTGAAATTTTTCTCAAAAAAATAAAAAAAATCACTCCTCGTTAAACTCTGCTGACGAAAAAAAAAAAACGATACAACACGAGAACTTTGAGGAAGTCACCTATCTTGATATTACTCTCATCCAAACACGTTTGACCGCTGCTGATGGAATCCAATGCATTAGTGTTGTTATAATTATAAATATCTTAGAAAAAAAATTAATAAAATTATCCTAAAAAAATTATATTCAAACATTTTGAAAGCTGGAAGCCAATAAAACGGGCTATTAGCTCAATGATAAAGCATACCCCAATTATTGCGTCATTGTACCTGGATTACGAGTGTTCCCAGCCACATGAATAGTTTTTGTGTTCATTGGTGCTTGATTTGGATCATTCAAGACACATTGGCCTGGCATACACTTCAGTTTTTTTTTTTTTTTGTTGAAAATACAACTCCTATTTAATTCCTTTATATTTTGTGGTTTGCACCAATAGAGTCTTTCTCTTAGCTAAATGTGTTTTCAATTTTGTCTTAGGCAACTACGTGTTGGGCTTGTGGTGCCGATTTTTTACCCTCCAATTGTTGGGTTTTCTATTGAATAATTTGGGCCTGGCCTTTATCAGATTCGGGTTCAGCCCGTTCTTTTTTAAATTTCTTACCTCTCAAATAAATTACAACTGTGTTACTTAGGGGTATAAGTATAACACTCTGATTATTAAAATTTTGATTTATTACTATAATTTTTTATTTTTATGATTTTTTTCATCAAACTTATTTTATCAATATTTCAAATAATTTTATGTTTTTACAATATTTTATATTATAGTTTTATGTTATATGATTTTTTATCTCGTTTTCGATTTTACATCAAATTTCGATTTTAAGTACCTTGCTTTTGCTCTTGCTCAGACCAGTGACCAGAACCCGCTTGTCAAAAAATTTGAAACAATCTTCCTAAGAGCTCGTTTGGATGCGCTTTTTTTTCTTCAAAAGTTATATTTTTTTCAAGAAAAAAAGTACTTCTCACTTTAAGTTTGTTTGAATGTCTGCTTTTAAAAAAAGCAAAAGTCAAAAATCTACTTTTTTATAAGCTAAAAATTTTAACTTATAAAAAAGCAGAAGTCAAAAATCAAATATATTTTTTCAAAAACTAAATATTTTTATAAAAATATAAAAGCTTTAACTTTTGTAAAAAGCACTTTTGAAATAAAGAACAGATAAAATGTACTTTTTTTGAAAGGCGAAACAAACGGGCTTTAAGTCACAGCATTTTATGACTTTTCTTTTTTATCAAAATGTTTTTATCAAATATTCCAACATCCAATCACTTCTTTGTTTTTACAATTTGTTTAGATTACTTTATTTTTTACAATTTTTCATTGAGAAATATATTTGTCATGTTACATGATAAATAAATAAGAAAAAAGTGTTTGTCATTTTAAATGACAGAAAGTTATATCATTTTAAGAGAGGTACAGACACAGAAAAATTTGAATTTTAAATTAAAAAAAAATCACTCATTTTCTCTCTTCCATGATTTTCATTTTTTCTGTGTCTATCTCTCTCCTAAAATAACATAATTTATATCATTTAAAATGACAAACACCAAATCTAATAAATAATTGTTATGTTAAGAAAAAAGACAAAATAAATTTATTGAATAATATATTCTCTTATTTTTTTAATATTATATAATTTATGTTCTTAATATAATAACTATTCATGTCATGACAAATGCATTTCCATTTTTATTTTTATGTAAAATCGAAACAAGCCATTTCTTTTCCTGCTCATTATTTTAGTTTCTCGCTTCAAAAAATCAATCTTTTCTTGAATGTGAGCATGCCTTGCCAAAAGCATGATACTCTGCTTCAGGCGATCCTTATACAATTCAACTCATGCTCTTTCTGTCTCTTCGCTCGTCTTCAAACCTGAGTTAGCTTTGTCAGAGAAGTTGTTTCGTCATTACAACGTATCTCAACAACACCTTGAATTTCCACCTTTGAATTTGGAATATCAACGATACATAAATTCTTCTTGCTTGGAAGATGCCCATCAGCTTCATTTGCAGATATACAAAACTGGGTTTACCAATGATGTTTTCTGGTGTAATACTCTTATCAACATTTATGTTAGAATTGGCAATTTGGCTTCTGCGCAGAAGCTATTTGATGAAATGCCACAAAAGAACCTCGTTTCCTGGGCTTGTTTGATTTCAGGCTATACACAAAATGGCATGCCTGATGAGGCATGTATTTTATTCAAAGGGATGATTTGTGATGGCCTCTTACCAAACCACTATGCTATGGGTAGTGCTCTTCGAGCATGCCAAGAGCGTGGTTCAACTAGGCTTAAACTCGGAATGGGGATTCATGGCTTAATTTCTAAATCTCCATGTGCTTCGGACATGGTGTTGTCTAATGTGCTCATGTCCATGTATTCAGAATGCTCGGCTTCCATTGATGATGCTCGTCGTGTTTTTGATGAAATAAGAATTAAAAATTCTGTATCCTGGAATTCTATCATTTCGGTTTATTGTCGTAGGGAAGATCCAATTTCTGCTTTTAAGTTATTTTCAAGCATGCAAAGGGAAGCTACAGAGCTTACCTTCAGGCCTAATGAATATACCTTCTGCAGCTTAGTAACTGCTGCATGCTCTTTGGTTGACTGTGGACTGATTTTGCTTAAGCAGATGCTGGCCAGGATTGAGAAATCTGGATTCTTACACGATTTGTATGTTGGTAGTGCATTGGTCAGTGGGTTTGCAAGATATGGTTTAATAGATTGTGCTAAAATGATTTTTGAGCAGATGAGTGATCGCAACACAGTGACTATGAATGGATTAATGGTTGGATTGACAAAGCAGCACCAGGGTGAAGAAGCCACTGAGATATTCAAGGAAATGAAAGATTTAGTTGAAATAAATGCCGAATCTTATGTAGTTCTTTTAAGTGCTTTCACTGAATTTTTAAATTTAAAGGAAGGGAAGAGCAAGGGTCAAGAGGTTCATGCTTACCTGATTCGCAATGCCTTGGTTGATATCTGGATTTCGGTTGGAAATGCACTAGTCAATATGTATGCAAAATGTGATGCCATTGATAATGCTTGGTCAATTTTTCAACTCATGCCTGGTAAAGATATTGTTTCATGGAACTCTATGATATCTGGCCTTGACCACAATGAGCGGTTTGAGGAAGCAGTTTCCTGTTTCCAAACAATGAGGAGAAATGGAATGGTGCCCTCAAATTTCTCAGTTATAAGTACTTTGAGTTCATGTGCAAGCTTGGGTTGGATCATGTTAGGACGACAGATACATGTTGAAGGGATCAAATGGGGGCTTGATTTGGATGTTTCAGTTTCAAATGCCCTTCTAACATTATATGCTGAAACTGATTATATCAATGAATGTAACAAAGTTTTCTTTCTAATGCCAGAGCACGATCAAGTTTCTTGGAATTCCTTTATTGGTGCACTAGCAACTTCAGAGGCATCAGTTTTACAAGCTATAAAGTATTTCCTGGAGATGATGCAAGCTGGATGGAAACTTAATAGAGTGACGTTTATAAATATTTTAGCAGCAGTTTCTTCTATTTCAGTTCTTGAACTGGGCCGTCAAATTCACTCTTTAATCTTAAAATACTCTGTTGCTGATGACAATGCCATTGAGAATGCGCTTCTAGCTTTCTATGGAAAGTGTGCCCAGATGGAGGACTGTGAAATTATCTTTTCTAGAATGTCTGAGCGAAGAGATGAAGTCAGTTGGAACTCAATGATTTCTGGATATATACACAATGGCATCCTGCACAAAGCCATGGATTTGGTATGGCTTATGATGCAAAGGGGCCAAAGATTGGATGGTTTCACACTTGCCACAGTTCTTAGTGCCTGTGCTTCAGTTGCAACATTAGAGCGTGGTATGGAAGTTCATGCATGTGCTATAAGAGCTTGTTTAGAATCTGATGTTGTCGTTGGTAGTGCACTAGTTGACATGTATGCAAAATGTGGAAGGATAGATTATGCTTCGAGATTCTTTGAATTGATGCCTGTGAGGAACATATATTCTTGGAATTCAATGATTTCAGGTTATGCACGCCATGGACATGGACAAAAAGCTCTAAAGCTTTTTACACAAATGAAACAGCATGGTCCATCGCCAGATCATGTCACCTTTGTTGGGGTCCTATCGGCCTGTAGTCATGTAGGGTTAGTTCATGAAGGATTTAAGCATTTCAAATCAATGGGTGAAGTATATGGACTAGCTCCTCGAATAGAGCACTTCTCTTGTATGGTTGATCTCCTTGGACGGGCTGGTGATGTTAATAAGATAGAGGACTTCATCAAAACAATGCCAATGGATCCTAATGTCCTTATTTGGAGAACAGTTTTAGGAGCATGCTGTCGAGCTAATGGCCGTAATACAGAGCTAGGGAGGAGGGCTGCTAGGATGCTTATTGAGTTAGAGCCACAGAACGCTGTGAACTATGTGCTTCTTTCTAACATGCATGCTGCTGGTGAGAAGTGGGAAGATGTAGCAGAGGCTAGGTTGGCAATGAGGAAAGCAGCAGTGAAGAAGGAAGCTGGGTGTAGTTGGGTCACCATGAAGGATGGAGTTC